ATCTGTCAGACTATTGAGAGGCCAGCAATTATCTCTCCTCCAATGTAAACAGGGCTGACTTCAATGAACTCTGTGCACAGACAGAGCGCAGCTGAATGGCTCAGTGATGTGTGTGTTTATGTATGGTAGCAAATGTCTTGCCCAGAACCACAGATATCCAGGTGACAAGCCTACTGAAAATTTTTAAAAAATGAAACAGGAACCACTGATTCACACCCCTGTCTTGTCGACAAAAAAGCAATAAAAAAAACTTCCAGCAGAAATAAAATTCCATGTAAAATACATGAGCCAGGTAGCTAAAACACACGAAAAGCAGAGATGCGTTTCAAACCATCCATTCAATCTCAATTTAATGTACATTAACATAATTATACACCACGTTATTTCATGCTTACCTTTGTAAATACCGAGTTGTTTTAAATAAATATTACCATTGAAAAGCAGGTCTAAATATGATATAAGATTCATTATTGACTCTTTGGCTTTGGTGATGCAAGCTGAACTACACGGTGACAGTGGGGAAACGTTTTCAAGACCACTGTATGACTGGGCCCTTGAACGGACTGGTACTGACATATTGGTTGGGTCAACCCACTCTCAACCACAGCATTACTCTTTTACATCAGGTCCACATTTGCCTGGGGTTTTGTTGCGAGGAGGAATCATCACAGGATTTAAAGCTTTCTTTTTTTTTTTTATTTTATTAAACAGTGCCCTGACATTTGTTAAATGAAACTGCCAGGAGTTATGATTATAGTTCTGTGCTTTTCAAAGTTTTGGGCCCTGCGTCTGCATTCACCAATCAAAGCGGAACAAAACAGATTGTTGAGAGAACCCTGTTGTCAAAACAAAGTGTACGCTGGAGGAGCTTACCTTCTGTGGTTTGTAATTGAAAAAAAAAAGAGGGATTTCGCTGGCTTCCTAGAGCTCTGATCAAAGACGGGAAGGACGCAAGCACACGCATTAAATCTGCTCACAGGCAGCTGTGCTTGAGGCAAAACAAAATATGCCAGAGCTTTGCAGGAAATCACTCCTTCATCAGCTTTCCGAGTGTACTAGGGCAGCCCAAAGCCAAGATGACAAATGTGTGTGGTTTTATTTTTCTTGCAAACCTGATGCCAAAGATGTATTTAAAAAATGGGCTGAAATCCTTACACCGACAGGCCCTTGAACAGCCAGCGTCTTGAATTGCTGTCTGTGCCAATACCCAAACAGTGCTTGGCACTCCAGCAGCTTGGGGCACGCACGACCTAAGAACATAAGAACACAAGACAGCCAGCAAACGAATGGAGGTCATTTAACCCACTTTGCTTGTTACGTTATGTCTATTGCAAAGTCATGTCTTGGAAAGAGCTTGGTGAATGTAGCTCCAGCCCCCTGTCACTCTATGTCTCCAAGCAACTAATCCTTTTTAGAATGTTTTAATGAGTATTATTTTAAAAAATATTTGTTAGAAATAATCTTATTTGAAACTCTTTATCTTAACATCTTACCTGGCTGCACTCACAGCATTCTGGGGTAGCCAGTTAAGATGTTAAGAAAAAGAGTAAACATACACACTTCCAAAGTTTTAGAAGATGCAAAGTATACATTTCTTTAAGCCTGCAAGGAACAAACCCCCTCAATAAAGTCTTTACCATGTAGCAAAGCAGGCATTGGTATGAGCAGTTATCAGGAAAAAATAAGCTAAAAGTCAACACAAGGATACCAAAGATGTACATACAGGATATTTATAGCCTTACCTGGCCTAGGCAAACAATTATATCATGTAAATGAGTTTTGAAGATGATGTTTGGTAAACCTGGAGTAACACCATTATGAAAGAGATCCGCAGTACGCACAGCAGGACCACCACATGTTCTCTTAATGGCTTGCTTGGGTGTGTAGCAACACAGGACATGAACGTACAAAGCCATTCAGTGTCCACTGTTGTGGTTTATGGGAACATGTTCCCAATCACCTCATTTCACTAGCAAACTGGGTGAGCCAGATAACTTCGTTACCTCCCTGTACTCAAAATTGGATGCACTGAGCCTCACTGCAATTAAGAGCATCCAACCCGGGCTCACCAATCTTCCCGTTTTCTTCACTGTTAGAACAGTGTCTGTTGAATTTTACACTAGGCATTCTACTGAGGATGCATTATCTCCGAGTTACTGTATTACACTGGCATTTGACAGGGAGGAAGAAAGTCCAACGGAATCATCTGAATCTGAGCCTCAACTCAAATGGTAAACTCAAAATGAGGGCATAAGTGGAAACCGCATTTAAAACAGTGAACAGGAGACACCTTTTAACCCAAAGGGTTGTGGGAATCTGGAAAAAGCTGCCCAGCTGATACTTTGGCTCATTTTAAAGAAATGGCTGGAGATGATCCTTGGACCGACAAGCTACAAACAGGATACGTGGGCCATAGGGCCTCTCATTTGTAACCATTCTTATGTCTATGTTTAACCAAACTTAAACTTCAACTGTTCCAAGGAGCTAAAGGGGACTTTTTGGCACACAAAGCTCCAAACTCACACCCGGAGGTGCAGGGTTCGATCCCGCTACCTCTCACACTTTACGTAAAGCAAGCGCTCCACCATGTGAGCCAGGCCCCTTCCAAAGAGTTGCCATGCCAGGGGATTTATTCACATCCAGGCCTCCCTTCCACCCTCCACTTTCCCCGGAGCCCCATCTCAGTCAATGGTTCCTCCATCTTGCAGGAAGGTGGCTTATCCCTGACCCAGAATAGCGCCCAGCAGGTGTGGGCCTTGTCATTGCAGTGACGTGCCTGTCAGGCCGGCTGCTGAGCTCTTAGCTGCTGCACTTCAAAATCCACGCTGTAATCCGATTGGGGCTCTGCTGCTACAATCCCCCCGCAGATTCCCAAGATTGCACCCCGCCAGAGAGAGAGGAATAAGGCAGGATCAATATGGCACCTTTCTGTCTCCCAGGCTGCACCCTTTCGCTGCAGAATTTTTTTTAGATCAATAATTCAGTAACAGCAGCGAACTGGCATGCATAATACCCATGTTCAAAATGTTAATAAAATTGTCATGAGCTGTCATTCTTTACACCACTATACAAGACTTTGGGGAAAAGCTCTCGAAAGTGTGAAGGGATAAATTATTTAATAAGGACTCAAACACCAGATCCACACTGATGCCGATTACAGCTCTAATCTCCAACCCTGATCCTGCAGAACTCCGGTCCTGCAGTTTTTAGGCATCTTCAATCAGCGGGCCGAATATTTATGAAAAATGACACGTTCCTGGACATTTCCACAAAGGCTCATAAGGAGTCCGTCTTGAGATGGTAAGGGAGGGTAGCATGACTCACACGGGGGAAAGGCAGTGAGCGTATCACCACCCCAAACTCACCAGCCGATCAGAGCTGGGTCATTTGTCGCGAGGAGAGTTTACTCCGCATACTGAGAGGAGACAAGGGTGAAAGGCTGTCTGAGCTCCACAAAGGCAAGATGCACCACTGTGATGCTGCCTTGAACTGTTTTGTAAAGACTTCTAATGACATGATGTGAAAAATGATTGGGGCAAATACTGTAGGTCTGGAGAACATTTTGCTTTCAGCCATTTCTAACCACTATTTACAGTATAAAACAACAATGTCTCCAACAATTAATTCTTATTAAAGGATGGACTATTCCTTTAATCAGAAGAACATATTTTTTATAAAAGGTGGCAATGTCAAGTTATTGTTTGTCTTGTATGGGAGGATACACAGGGCTGAAGCCCAGTTCTGGTGGTCAGAAAAAGAAAAAATACTGATGCTCATGATGTCAAAACAGCAAAGTCCAGCCCCACTCACAGTAGCCATTTAGGTTTGCCAATAGAATATGAGAACACACTGAATACAATCAAGCACTTAAAAGCAGAAGGTCAATACTACATTACAACTGTCTGTGCTAAAAAGAAGGCTGCACCATTTGAAAACTGCAAGCTAATTAGCACTGGATCATGAGGCAAAGGAGAGCAATTAAAAACTAATCCAAAAAGATTGATTTCCTACACCAGCTGACCTATAATGCTTAGGTTAGTCTACACTCATTTTAAAGGAAAACAGGGAGAAATCTATCCATCTATTTTGCTCATTTCTCTCAAATGAAAAGTGAAAAAATGTTTAATCAGCCGATCAGAGTTCAATAAATGCTACAAGGGACCAGTCCTGGGGTAAAAACAATTAAAACATTCTGTGAGATTTTTAATCCTTGATTTCATCTCAAGAAGGTTTTAGTTTCCCTGAAGATGTTAAACAGGCAAACACTCACTTGTGACACCTCTCATCGCAAGGGTTACAGGGAATAGAAGCATATAATTTTGAAGAGCTGGCACTTTCACAGTACCTCTAACACACTGTCCTGATGTGCTTTGAAAAACTTTTGATCTCTCAGCTTTGGAAAAAAAAAACACTTTGATGGGTGAAAAACAGGGGTCCTGAAGGGGATCCTGAAAGCTTTTCATTGCATTCCTGCTCTCTCACGCTGACAAAAGCCGACCATTCAGAACTCTCCTCTCGCATACTGTAGCTCTTCCCATCTACTGTTCTAAGCTCAAAACCTGCCAAGACAGCAGCTTGTATCACATCCAGCTTCATTCACAAAGCATCTCATAAAATCTGCCCCACATCCTTTTTCAAGCGCCTTTTAGTTTTCCTGTTTAATTATACTGTACATTTACAGTTTTTAGCCTAGAACCTTAAATTCCAAACTCCAAAGAGATCAAGAGTCAGCTGAAGAAGGAGTCATTGTGGAGCAGGGATCAGACCTCTAAGGAGGCACAGGGAGAACACAAGTGTGAACACACTGGTTTGTTAACATCACCACCGCCATCACCAACAAGGTGAGTAAACTCAAAACTCAAAGCCAGAAGGATCATGGTGCACGCTTTCATTTTCAAAGCGCATGGGCTGTTCAGTGCCGATCTACAGAGGCTACAAATGGCAGCAGCTACCTTATTTTTGACTAGTACCAAAAAAAGGAGAGATCCTTGAGCACTTACTAGTTCGGCCGGCCTTGATCTTGGCTAGCAGCTTTTGGGCGGATGGCAGGTCCCCATTCTTCACAGCCTGAAGGAGATCCTGTTCCTTCCCCATGATCCCGATGTGTAGTAGATCCCAGTCTCTCTCCGCAGCACAGAAACCAATTCCTCAAAGAGCCATGGTGAAGGGGCGGCTGCTCAAACTCTCTGGGAAATCTCCGAGGTCAGATCAGATGCTGGCAAGTCTTGGCAACGGGACTAGGAAAGCAGCTGATCTTAAATTACTGAAATGGCAGGACTGTGTCGCCTTCAATCGCATACCTTGGCAGGCCAACACCTTTCCCTTTTTGATCCAGAAAAGGTGTTGGTTGGAACACCGAATGGGTCTGGCCTCAGTGCAGACTGCCCCAGAGGTACCAGGTTTGGGGATGCGGCACAGCAGGGCTCCTTTTCCCGGTTTTCAATATCTTCTAAAAAACAAAAACCCTGAAAAAACGAAAAACGTCACTTAAAAATGATGTCCTATAAGAGAAACCTCAAGACTGCAGACTTGTAATGCTGACAATAAATGCTGGTCTACAACAGCTACTCATAAGCGTTTGAAACGTGTCATCCTCACCTATAATCTGGCACACCATGATTAGAAAACACAATGGTACGTACGAAATGGTGGAGTCTGTCTTAGTGCTGCAAAACCACTTAAAGATAAGTACTGCCACAGCACGGCAAAGCTGCAACGAGTGCAAATTACAACTTTTTGAATCTTACACTAGCTGCTCTCATTTATATTTATGCTCTTTTTCTAACATTTGTGGTGGGAAACCGTACTTTGATCCTGAAGGGAAAATGAAATAATTTCTTGGCTTCCAGCACTGCACCAGACACATGGAATGTGCTACAAGACACAGACATTAACGATGAATCCCATAATCTAAAGACAGAGTCTGAAGTACAAATGGACCACCTGAACCCATCAAATTAGAACCATAATATCTGTAAAAATACAAGACACTTCCCTTGGACTTCATCGGTTCTTGTGAAAACATAAAACAACTTTTGCGCATAAAATACGCAGGAATTTTCCAACTCTTTGCAGACAACTCTTGTGTAAAAAGATGGAAACTAGGGTCTACACAGAACTACTTACATTACTAATAGCACCATTATTTTTATTTTATTTTTAATGCTGTATTAAGAGACAAAAAATCCCAAGTCCTTGCCCCTGTACCATTTGGGAATCTTACCAATAAATTAATCCCTGCTTTAAGAGAAGCTGGCTGAATGCCTGGCAAAAGCATTCTTTCCTGCAGGAAGCCTACAGGAGTGACCTGTTCCCGGACTTCCCATTGTTCAACTCACAGAACACGAACAAAGTGTGGAAGAATAATATCCTGGAGAGAGAAAAAAATCCCCTTCCCTTTGATTTTGGAGCTGCTGGGTACTCGGCACATATCGGATTTCAAAGGGAATGCTCACTGAAGCTCCGACAATAACAGTGGAGTTTCTGGATACAATGTTTTCATTAACAAAGATAAGAAAGACGTACTTCATGCCAGGTCCACGCATGAAGGCAGCAGGTATAACTTACCCAAGAGGAGCGGCAGCACACAGACCACTGATTTTCAACCGCAGAAGGGATGAGGGGATGGTTAAAAACAAAGGGAGGTCTTTCCAATCATGCCCAGAATAATTGCATTGCAACACATATTAACTGCACATGTATTTTACACAGACCTGCTTGCATGTGTATGTTTACACACAGAAGGGTGTTCTGGTTAACAACCACCCCAAAACAGTCTGTGTTCCAGTAGACATCACTGGTGTTTTTCTGCAGATCAACCTGTGCTAGGGGTACCGATGCTTGTGCATCGCACCAGTTACGAACTCTGGGGACTCTCATCCATACCCCTCTCCCCAACCCCACTCACCCTCTTTTCCCCCCATAGCTTCCCACTACACCCATACACAACACTCCTTTTCTCCATATCTTTATTGCCCTCCTACTGGAAGGAATGGTGGATCCAGCACCCTTCCCCTCCTCCTGAAGGATGAAATTAGGTGTACCAGTAATAATTTCTGCATGAAAAAGTGGTAGTGAATAAGAATTCCAATGCACATGTAGATACTGCAATAAAATCCACCACTTTCTCTCCCGAAAGTTTAAAACCCTCTACACGGTATCACCCCCTCACTTTCTTGGACCAGTAGTGATGGGTAAGATGGTGCCAACTAGTAATTTCCCATTCTGCACTTTTAACAGACAGGCTATACACTCTGTAATGGTGCATGCAGATCTGACAGCACACTCAGAGGAGGCCTTTATGACATCTGAATCTATCGCCTCCAACTCGTTACCACCCTGGATTAAACAGAGTGTGTGTGAGCTTTCCTTGTCTTTACATTTTATGGAATTGTTATGCAACAGTTTGAGAAGAACTGTTTGGAACTGTTTGGAAGAGCTTTCTTCCACCTCGTTTCATCATTTTCTACCTGAGTCTTTGCGAAACTAACAAACCAAGCTGGGTAAAGCTATGAACATCTTTATCCCACAATATACATTACAGTATACACTGGTGGGTGAGGGACAGCGCAGCATGATGGGTGAGCCTTTGGATTCATGACTGACAGGTTGTAGGTTTGAGTCCCCACTGAATTACCCTTGAGTGAGGTACCCAATCAGTCCATCCAGCTGTATAAGGTGGCACCAGCACAGAAATAAACCCTGGACTGATGTCTTATCTGTCACATGTCCTCAGTCTGCTTAAAGCTACAGTAACCAGGATGAGTTCTGTCTCGATGACCCTCTGGGCTCTGTTGTGGACTTTACCTTTACCTAAACTGATGGGCAGAGCTCTCACGACTGCGATAATGGTAATGAGATGCAGCTTATCTTGGACTGAATACCGCCACAGCTGTGCCAGAAACACTGGCCCATTAGGAAATACTCAGCTCTTTCCTCCACTTCTTGCTCCCTCAGATATTCATCAAGTCACGCCACAGCCATCCACTGCAGTCATGGAAAAAACACGCTCTGCCCATTTAGAGTACAGTATGCATTGTTGCATTGCATGTTCCTAAAAAAGGTATCATAACGAGCATGGTTATTTTCTTGCATGTTTTCCTTTGGAATTCCTTAGAACCGTAATGTATTTAAGATCAAAAAGCAACCTGGAGGTCTACGGTACAGGAATTGGGGTTATAAATCACTGTAATAATGATGATAGTTGAGTCTGTGCAAAGATTCCTGTAGGCGTCTTTGCACTGGCCATGCAGTTTTAAGAGTTAAGCACACAGACACTGCTGATATTTATTTATCCATCTGAAGTATTTATTTTGTTGGTTCAGTTAGAACTGCGGTGTCTTTTCCTCTTCTTTCCACCTAAGACTTTTTTAACTTAACTGGTCTACATACTGTATAGGACATCCATCCATTTTCGAACTGCTTCTTCCAAATCGAGGGTCGCAGGAGAGCCAGGGTCTATCTGGGTAAGCAACACACACAAGGCACACACACAGACACAAACACACACTCGCTTACACCAAGGCCAGACATTCCCAGAAACGAATTAATCTACCAATATGTTTTTGGACTACGGGAGGAAAAGAGAGAGCAAGCACAGAGAGAACACACACAGTCCACATAGATACCACCCCAGCTCAGGTCCACTACTGCACCACTTTGCTGCCTCACATACTGTAGGATATACAGTATAGATTTGAAAACGTTTTACAGGGTCTGGGTTAAACGTATGTCTTAAATTATCTGCTGCTTAAGAGTTAGGAAAATAGGTGACTGGGCTGCTTAGGGATCTTCGAGATCTAGTTTAGCTACAACTACAGTATCTCAATTTTATTTTTGGACTCTGAGAATTAAGTTGAAGCCAACAACATGAAATCAATCTAACATCCCTTAAGCTGGCCAGAAAGATTTTGTTTCAGATATTGGACAGTTATCTACTGGCTATGTTAGTGTGTTTGACCATATTTTAAGGAATATGTTAACTAGTTAACTCTTTAAAATGTCAGAAACTGAACTCCCATGAACTACTCCATAAAAGAACAGAGGGTAATGACTAGGTTCATGGGCCACACTTAAAAGCAGCAACACTGAAATCGGAAACGGACATAATAAAACGTGCAGCTGGAGAAAGCTCAAGTGAGTATCAAATTTGTGCTTAAAAAACAACCCACATAGACTCATCACAAAACAAAACTTCCTGCGGTATGAGGTTTTGTGGAAGACAGTTCCACACTTTACCTCACATGGGCCTAGAGAGCATGCAATGGAAATGCATCATCCCACAGCCAAATGCTGGGGCTGTAATCAGGAGCTGTCGAACTCCAGCTCTCTGAAACACTCCATGTCTGGGTGGTAACTGTCGCAAGGATATTTTGGGGAAAAAAAAAATCAAGTTTCTCTGAAGAAGTGGGAGACATGCAATCAGACTCCCAAATCCTAACTGGCAACAAACAGAAAAACATCCAAAATGACCAAAATGTGCTATACCACAATACAGAGGCTTATAATTAGGCAAAGACATTTCATTGCAGTAGGCATGTTCCAGCAACAATTAGCCATTTAAAAAAAACTGCACTGAAGAGTATGGGAACAGTAAACAGGGAAGCAAGCGATAACCATACTGTATACAATTAAGAGTACTAAGCAGTTAACAGCAGGGGCACCCAAACTCTGCGAAGCTTCTGGTTTTTCATTCTCACTGAGCTTTTGACGACAGGCCTTAATTTAGCTAATTATTCAATTTATTGGTCATAATTACTATCATTCCCCGGCGTTTAGTAACAATGAATTAGAGACCTACAATGTGAAACCTTACAGGATCCTGTCCTGCAGAACCGGATGCTTGGCAACCCTGGTTTAGAGCATTAGAAATATTCCAACCAGTACATGAATGCAATAATAAATACAGTAGATGAATCTGCAAATCATAAAAAGAGGTACAGTTTATAAAATAATAACATAAACACTGTAATCATATAGCCAATAAGTGTCAGGTTTGTTTAATTAGGAAGCAAGATAGAGAATTTTATCATAACGCACTGCTGTGCTTCATCTATTTATTCTTTAGCCTCCTAAAGCCTTCTTCCATAAAGGTATTTATAGACATTAACAAGTAGAGCTGGCGATTTACTTGGGAGAATAAAGTATCCAATAGGCCTAAACGGCAGCAACATAATTTCAATTACCTGCCAAACTGTCATAACGTCATACTTCACAGGTTGAGAATAGTTAGTTATAACTGAAAATGACAGCATGGTATCTTGATGAATAAACAGAGGCGGATCCAACCATTTCTAATCCACCCATCCATTTTCTAACTGCTTTATCCATTACAAAGTCATGGGGAAGCTGGAGCCTATCCTGGCAAGCAATGGGCATGAGGCAGGGTACAGTACACCCCGGATGGGACACCAGACTCACAGGGCACAGATATGCACACACTCACTCCACGACCAATTTCCCCAGAAGCCAATTAACCAACCAACATGTCTATAGATTGTGGGAGGAAACCCATGAGAACACAGGGAGAACATGCACACTCCACACAGAGAGAACCCCAGGAACTGAACTCAGGGCCCTGGCTCTGCGAGACAGAAATACTAACCAATGCATCGCCATCCCACCCCCTTTGCTAATCATTTATTTTATACATAAATGCAAATACTTGTAGTTCGTTATATTCAAACACAAGTAGCAGCACAGTTTCCATTTAAATATACTTTTAGGTGCATTTGCAACTGAACTGAAGTGTAGCACTGGCGAAGTCAAGCCCATAACTACTTTTAAACTCGGCTTCTTTAGAGGCTGTTCCTGCTCATGGCCAGGCGTGAAATCAACTTCTTAACCTCTCTGTGGGAGGGGGAGGGAGAGGGAGAAACCGAAGCACCTGGAGAATCACGGACATGAACATGGGAAGACGTGCAAACTCCACACAGAAGGTACCCCACACAGTATGGAAACTCAGGAATCTAGAGCTACGGGCTGCATCACTGTGCTGGCCTAATCTATGTCAGTCTCAAGAATGGGAAAAGAACAGGAAAAGGCAAGTGTAAATTAACAACGGGTGCTCTTATGATTTAAAACAGGAAGTACTTAAAAGAAGTGCTTATAAAGAGCTTGGAGCATGGTGTCGGTTGCCAGTGATGCTATTCTGGACAGATATGCAGCTAACAACCAAATAAGATAAAGAGGCTCAAGAAGAAGGGCAGCACAGTGGTGCTGTCGTTAGGATTGTTGCCCCTAAGTAACCTGGTGATTGGTAAAGGAGGAACCTGGTGATGTAACCTTGCCTTAAATAAAGAAATGCTCATATCTGCCTGGTCACCTCCTGAACTTTCAAAATCCAGTTGGTTATTTATTATCTAAACCATTCCACACCATTCTGCAAATTCATGCTCCGTATTAAAAAAATGTAAACAAAATTGCGAGCACGCTGTTCTGCATAATTGCAACTGCACAATAACAAGTAGCAACTTCCTCGATATTGAATTGCACTCTATTCCAGCAACATGACAGGTTTTCTTTTGTGTGTGTTGTTAATGAAAGCAATCAGAGTCACCCTTCGAGTTTCCTTCCGACCAGTTTACGTGCCAGATTTTCGTCCAGCTGTTTTTGGTCATCAATCCAAAGCTAACAGTAATGCTTGTTAGATTATTGTTTGAGGCTATTTTGTGACACAATAGTAGCCTCAGAACTAAAGTCAGGCTGAGAACATTTTAGTGATAACCCCTATTAATCATGATGCTATAGTTTTGCCAGTTTTTGTGTCAATTGGGAATAACGCTGACGCAGAGCCTGTCAGCTGATTTTAACAAGCATGCAGCAATTTACGCTGCTGACATCAACTTCTCAGCTGCTTCGCTACTGTACATTATTACGAGTCCATCATCCGCAAGATGCGCACTGACTCAGATTTTTTTGTCAGATACTAGTTTTACGACTCAAGAATACCCAATGCACCTTGGGTATCCGATCCTTTCAAACAAACTAGCGAGGTAGCTCAATGTAAACTGAACTACAGTACCTTATCCTGAAATAAACTCCGTTCTTAACTCAATCGTTTCTCCACATTCAAAATACTACATTTTGGCAAATTTCGCAATTCCAGACTCTGGCCACTCTACCCAGGAACAAGTATACTACTAGGGTTGGGAATGCGATTTTCATGTCTTAAATAAATAGAACACACCTACAGTATATAGCGTGTTGAATTCTCGGGAAATTACAAATTAGTAACATGACATCTACTACACAGCAGTTGCGGGGAAGGCAAATCGTGCCGCACATGACAGTTCTGAGCTGGAAAAATGTGCTTACACTGTTTAAGTAGAGAGATCAGTAGAGCTGAAGAATCATTTCTAGTTGTGGTATTATTCATGAACGGCATGGTCCGAAAGCGATTGTTCTACTTGCATTGGAAGCGTGTAAACTGAGAGAAAAACTGCACCTTAATGTTAAAGGCAGTAGAAGAGTAAACACGCGGATTAACTCACGTACTAGAGATAAGCTCCGACAGAGGTCATATAACACGCCGAACAAGTGGTATATTTATGTCCTCCTTTTGGTCGCGTAAATTTCAATATGATTAACATATTCAAGATTTAACAGGTCAATACCACAAAGCTAACATCAAAGGCTTGCAGTTCGATCTTTTCATAGTTGGATGTATCTCATTCAATTATTAAATTTTAGGGACTTTCTGATAATGGATGGATAGATCCCGACCCAAAATATATTACAGTAGTACGTCTCTTGGGCACCTTCTGGTAGGGTCATAAAAAAGGAATCCACTAGGATATGGATCGTGAACAGTTTCCTCCGTTTTGAATCAGTAGACAATCTAACTAACACAAAACTACACACCCTCGCTGCTGTGTCTAAGGAGTCTTGGACAACCAAACTGACATACTGTACTCTTCCTAAAATACAATTAATGGCATCATTTTAATAACTCGGATTTACTGGAACAGCAAGATTAAAACGTGCCTCCCTTAAGACTTCAACCAGGTACGCAACCTATCCCCGCCGGTGATTTTTAACTTTTCCATGAAATGTTTAACTCTGTAAAGCGAAAATTGGAATTCGCAACACGCCACAGCACGCTGTACAATTCCTATCGGACTCACCTCCGGACTGAAAGATCTGCCAAGTACGATTACAATTTACGTCAAGGTGGTGCGCAGACTGGTTGTTTCTATTAAATCCAGGGAAGCCGTCTCGTCTCCAACAAAAACATCCAGACAAGTTATTCATTTGAAATTCCTGCATAAAGTCACCCAATCCACGAGTCCCCGGCTCCGGCCATGTTTACAATTTCAGTGTTTGAAGGGTTACTGAACTGGATTTAGGTCCTTCATAACAGAAAGCCCCAATATTTCATTCTCCACCGCTTGCTGTTGAAAACTCCAAACTCTGCTTGGCACTTCTATCATTGTCACTTGGCCAAATCTCCCCTGAGTCAATCGTCCCTCCCACTATCCCGTCCGGCTCCAGACTCCACCTTTTTTAAGGGAGACTTGCAGACTTGGGAGTTTTTTTTTCAAAAGGCCGCCTGTTGGGAACCGTGCATGGGAAGCCTTCAACACGAGCAATTGGGGAGAGGACAGGTCACTGGACGTTAGCCGGACAGCGCAGAGTGGCAGGCGTCCTTGTGATTTCATTATTACCCTCGTCACCCACGGGGTCTAGCGATGCAAAGGACTTTGATTGCTACGGGGGGAGGGAAGGTTACCTATTTTACTACAGGAACTTCACCAAGTTGGTGAAACGTGTTTTCATCACTATATTTTTATGCTATAGCTCAACAATATTTGCGCTTGATATTTTGAATATCTTTTAACATTTTAGGACGTATCTTTTAAGCAATTACAAAAATGTCGTACCCAATAACTTGATCTCCTGTGGTATTTAAAAGGGACTGATTACTTGCGAGTATTGAGCAAATTCCAGCTGTCGACGCCTATTGGTCAGAATCAGTAGTGCGTAGTGCAGTGTTTAAAACCAAAAGCATTCTGTATTATCTGAATTTAATATTAATTTGAAATAATTATCTTTGGTGACTTACCATAAAATAATAATAATAATAATAATAATAATAATAATAATAATAATAATATCCTCAAACTTATATAGCGCTTTTGTGGTAATTCCACTCAAAGTGCTTTTACAGGTAATGGGGACTCCCCTCCTCCACCACCAGTGTTGCCCCCACCTGGATGATCCAATGGCAGCCAAAGTGCGCCAGTACACTCACCACACACCAGCTATCAGTGGGGAGGAGAACAGAGTTAATGATGCCAGCTCATAGCCCTGGTTGTAGAGAGACAACCTCCTTTTTCCCTTACTATCCAAGTGTTAATTCTTGGCACATGTTCGTTTTGAATTGGTTAGAATTCAAATTTTAAAATATAAATATTTTTAATTCAACTTGTTCAGTGCAATACTGGGATGGGAAATCTGTATGTGGTGTTAATGACCAGTAGGTGGTGTTTTTCCCTCTGGACAAGAGTTTCCAAGACAATGCCTCACTGTGCTGACAGGGGAGGTGCCTCTCTAGATCCTTAGCACTTGGATATTAGACTCAGCTTGAAAAGTTTAGGGGTGCTAGCATGGTGTCCTTGGCTACAGTATATTCCACTAACCATTCAGGCCTTTGTAAATCTCCCCCAATAATTCAACAGGTTACATCTCCTCCTGATCTCCTATATAGTTTGGCTGCTGGTGTATAATAATAATTCCTAACACTTATATAGTACTTTTCTGGACACTCCACTCAAAGCGCTTTACAGACCCCCCTCCACCACCACCAATATGCATCCCCCACCTGGATGATGCAATGGCAGCCATACTGCACCAGTATGCTCACCACACACCAGTTTCAGTGGGGAGGAGAACAGAGTGATAAAGCCGGGATTATAAGGAGTCTGTAATTCGTGACATTTGGCCAGGATGTCTGGGTTACTACTCTTTTCAAGAAACAACCTGGGATTTTTAAAGACCACAGAGAGTCAGGACCTCAGTTTTACATCTCATTCAAGGGATGGAGCCTGTCACTATACTGGGGCACTAGCACCTCCTACTGGCCCTACTAACACCTCTTCCAGCAGAAACCTTAGTTTTTCCAGGTCTCCCAGCTAGGTACTAGCCAGGCTCACACCTGCTGAGCTTTAGTGGGCTACCAGTCATGTGCAGCAGGGTGATATGGCCTCCTCCTGGATGTAAAGCACTTTGTGATCCATCCCTCTATTTTTCGAACCACATCGGCCAATGAATGGACGCAGGGAACTTGAACCTATACCCTAGCAACACACACAAGGTGGGATTCACCCTGCACAGGACGCCAGTCTATGACACAAATGCACACAATCCCACCGGGGCCAGTTTCCCCAGAAGCCAATCAGCCTAGCAGTACAGTATGTCCTGTGGAGGAACCCGGAGCACCAAGAGTAAACCCACAGTAACACTGGGAGAACATGCAGACTCTATGCATGGCCCTAGCACTAGGAGGCAGGAATGTTATCCACTACGCCACCGTGCCACCCCACTTTGTGATCCCTTGAGATGAAAAATGTAATAGAAAAGCAATTTATAAACCAGTTCAATTGTTAGATTGAGCACTCACACACATCACAGATAAATGGATTCATGTAATATCTTGCTATATTTCCAACACGAAGGCTGTTTCTTTAAAGAAACACCAAAAGGACAGTTTGAAAGCCATATCGCTAATCTCCCATGCTTTATCATTTTTAACAAAGCTGCAGGTAGACTCGAGTCTGGGTCTTTTGTTGTTGCTGTCTGCATAGGGGTGTCACTGTTTGTGCAGTGAGCGCATTTCGAAGGTGCGGTCACAGTGACCATTGTATGTCTCTGTGGAAACTGAGTTCATTGAAACCACATTAAACACAGCTGTGCAGAGGCTCTTCCAGCGCACAGGCGATCTGGCATCAGAGAGAGACGCCACAGCAAAATACGAGCCCAAAATTGCAAACTCTTTCTTTGTCCAGAGTGAGGGCAGGGGCTCTCGAGGTGTCAGAACAGAAACACAAAAGTAAAGACAAAATAAAAAGCACTTGCTATAGGCAGCCTTTTTGCAGTATATACGGTAATTCAGATCCATCATCTGTAATATATCATTAGTTACATTATTAGTATAGAATCTAGTATTAATAATATACATAATATTTAATACCGTTGAAAGCACACATTTCAAAGTGCTTTGCAGTATGTAATAAGCACATCGCGCAACATTACAAAAAAAAAGTTAAAAAAGCAGATAGCGAAGATAAAAGGCCTTTCTGAAAAAGTCAGTTTTAAGCCTAGACATTGAAGCTCCCAGTTTGGCTGGTTGTGTTTTTAAATATGAAAAGGCCGATTGAAGGGATACTTCACTGCTGCGTTCAACGTCTGGGAGAACAAAAGTCACGCTGCTTAGATTTTTTTTTGCCGGCCCTTTGAGCTCAGGAGGAATTGAAATCCGAGATGGGGCCAACTCAAATGCAATAGGGAAGAAAAAAATAACAAGGAATGACAACCATTCCAGGGGGAAAAGGCTTTCATTAAGGTTTTCCATGCCATTTTCATTCTCCAAGATCACGATGTTTCTCCTAACAGCATACAGATTGCAAACAACATTGTTTTATTCTTCTTTGCTGCAGCTATGACTCCATCTTGTGGCTAAGAAAGAAATAGCATGTTCATTACCTGCTGGCTAAAGCACAAATGTATGTAAATATCCATCCATCCACTTTCAAGCATCTTCTTCCAACTGAAGGTCGCAGAAGATCAGAAGTCTATCTCAGCAAGCAACAGGCAGAAGGTAGGCTACACCCTGGATGGGACACCAGTCCATTGCAGTGCAGCCAGACACACACACTCATACTTCTAGGCCAATTTTTCCATAAGCCAATTATCCCACCCGTATGTTTTTGGACTGTGGGTGGAAACTGGAACACCCAGAGGAAACCAATATAAAATATAAAGAAATCATAATAGTTTCACACAGACAGCCCCCCAGGAGCTGAACCCAAGGCACCATTGCTAACTTCTGTGCCACCATGACACCTTCCAAATCAACAGCCTCAACCACATCAAGGTCACCTTAAGGTGAAAAGAAGAATGGATTTTACTTCAGTGGTGCTAGAGAACATGTAAAGCAATCTAAAAATGCTATGGCATAAGTTGACATGCATCATGCTACTGTAGGTATTTTAAAATATAGTTTACTTTTATTATAAGACTTTTAATTGTGAAATCTTGTCAAGAAATCCAAGGCTGTATAGTGGAACATATATAATCCACAACAAAGGCAGAAAGAGACTCAGTTACGTTAAAACCAAGACAAAATTAAATATTACAAGCTGCAGTGAAAAGATATGTCATTAATTGGGTTTTGAAACTGTTAACAATCTCCAATATTCAGGCAGTGAGTTTCACTGACCCATTGTGTGTTGCCTGGACCTAAGTAAAATCAGAAGAAACAGATCACCAGATCTCAGATGAGGTGTTGTACAATTCCCATGCAATAACTGTTGACAATAATTGGGGGATGGATCTATGGTCTGTATGGTATATTGTTATCACAGGAGAAATCACTAAAAATCAGCAAACTGATCTGCCCATTATTTTAAATGCAAATTACAATACAAATGTGCCCTATGAGCTTTTCAATTACAAAACACAATGCTGTGTTTTTGTTGTGCACTAATGTATTTAAATATTTCATATGACAGTTTTGAAGCTTTCCTCATTTAGTGCAAGACAGGCTTGTCTAGAGCAGAAATCCGGAAGCTGAAATATTTATAAATATAATCAAATCATGAAAACACTGAAATGCTGTTTTCCAATAAAAATGAATCAGGCTGTTTCAAGCAATTGAATGAGTAAGAGATACCAAGAAATTGTAAACACTATAACATTTCATAGTAGATACCCTAGAGTTTAAACCAGTGGTTTACTAATGCAGGAAAATGGACTTTGAGGGAATAAGAGTGGGATAAAAGGAGACCAGTAAATTAGAAATTTAGGTATTCAAGTTATACCTAAATTAAAGAAAAAGTTTCAGAAAACTTTGTCCTAAACAGCTAAATGGATTAGTAGAGAGGAAGGAGCAATTAGGTGAAAGAAAAAGCTTTGACAAAGGGCTAGAGGTTAATGCCAAGAAACAAGATCCGAGGGGAAGTGTGAAAGGCAGCAATATGTGAACTGAAAGGATTTAAAAAGAAATTAGCTGAGTCGTTGAGCGGTGGGAGAATGTGTGAGGCCATGCTAAGGATGAATTCGGCTGTGGCTATCTTTCTTGGAACGGTTTTCAGAATCCCCCTGAAAGAACACAAAAAGAAAGATTAGTATGATGACGACCGAGGCAGGTAAAATGGAGAACGACCAGCCTGGAAACATCTTTCATCCTCACAAATCTGATACTCTCCCTCTTTATAATCACAGTTACAGAGGCCAGGTGATACTTTACTCTATGAAGTCTGGGGCATACTGTATGATTAAAAACTTTTGCATTAAGGGAGATTTATATACAGGATAAAGAAAAGGGCAGATACAGAACTCCACCATGTC